CAGAAGGTTCCTGTAAGATACTGACGTGAGCTGAAGGTGCCAGTAATATTGGTGACAGAAGGTTCCCAGTATAGGTACTGGTGAGCAGAGGTTCCGTAAGATACTGGTGAGCAGAAGGTTCCAGTAAGATACTGGTTGAGCAGTAAGTTCCAGTAAGATCATACTGGCGCAGAGGTGCCAGCAAGATAAGGTGAATAGAAGGTTCAGTAATGATCTGGTTAGCGGAAGGCTCCAGAAAGACACTTGGTGACAGAAGGTTCAGTAAAGATATGTTGAGCAGGAGGTACCTGTAAGTAATGGTGATAGCAGAAGGTCCAGTAGATAACTGGTGAACAGAGGTTCAGTAAGATAATGGTGAGAGAAGGTTTCCAGTTAATACTGGTGGCATGTAGGTTCCAGCAAGTACTGGTGAAGGCAGGAAGGTTCCAGTAGATATGGTGAGCAGGAAGGTTACGGTAAGATATGGTGAGCCACCAATTTCGCCTTAGTCCTAACCTGCGGCAACGCATCTGTCCCCCAAAATGGGGTAGGCATTCTCAGACATTGCGTACCTTGGTGGTCTCCTACATGGCGCCTGTTAGCAATGTGTTTAAAACGTGCTGTGTGGGGGGCCGTTATTAATATAATCCAGAGAGACAGACAGCGACTTACGTGTTGCTCATCCTTCCACACTGTATAGACAGGCAGTCACTGTGGCAGATCGTCATTGAACGTCGCTAACGCACACGTTGGCGAGGGCTACGTGTCTACAATGCTCATGTTCCCCTTTTGTGCACGATTTTTGAAAAAAGGTGCAGAATTGTGTGTGAGTAGACACTCTGGACCCGCTCCTGTTGTAGCGGGATGCTGGATTTGATGTCGCGACCTCTAAAGTCCCCCCCCCCTGCCACCACCTGAAAATCGGGATCACTATTCTGTTCCGTTATCTCCCAAGGGACTGTGTCCCTCATTTATCTCCCTCAACACTGGAAATCGGCCTATTGTACTACCGTTTCGCAAACCTGGTGCCTCAGGCTTGACACCTTTCATATTGATCCAGTGCTCTGCCACAGTGTGTCTGCAAGGTGATGGAACGATTGGTGTAATAGACTTTGATGTGGTTCTTTAGAGGCTCACATTAGCCTTTCCTCTAGCCAAATATGGCTTTTTTGCTAAGGCTTCAGAATGCCCTTGCTCCACTTAGATATGTATATTCAAATGCCTTTGCTATAAAACACTGTCCTTGTGGGTTCTTTTTGGTTCTTTGATCTAAGAGAAAGCATATGACCACCACTGGGAGGTTTAACATTCTAGCCCATGGGTCACGTCTTTAGGACCTCCACCCGGTTTATCGTACCTCACCTTCTCTTATGGTTACTTTCTGTCCGATAGACAGTTTGGTCCAGTTATTGGCGTTTTAGTTACATAAGATATGGAGATCATGCTGCAGGCCTGTTGGCCAATACTTGGCAGGTGTTTTCTTTCACGTTCCTCTTAACACTAAAGATTTTGCCACCAACCCAAATCTGGATTGGCGTGGCTAGGATACTCTCTTGCCTTCCCCGGATATCTCAGGGATTGGGCGTGCTTCCTATTTTGGAAACTCCCCTATTCTCCAAACCAATGCTTTCCTATATCCTTTCTAAATCTAAACTTATCCAATTGAAATCATTATTAGCGAGTTCTTTCTTGAAGCGGATATCCTCAAAACCTTATTGTTAATAACCCATCTTCCACTTATACACTTCGATCAGGTCTTCCCTCATTCTTCGTCTTACAATGTGATTGTAGTTTAAGAGTCCTCAACCGTTCTTCGTAAGGAAGATGTCTAATGCAGTTGTATAATGTGGTCATTCATGCTGGATGTTTTCCTAGCGGATTTATATTCCCATTCTGTATATGTGGAGACCAGATCTGAGCCTGCATATGTTAGGCCTGAGGCCTTACTAATGATTATAAAAGTTGTGTTAAAATAACCGCTGGAAACTTCTGTTGCTTACACTTCTTGATATAAAATCCAGTAATATGTTTGCTTTGTTACGTACGCTTATGCACTGCTGTCTTGGGTTTTAAGGATGGTGCTTACCTTATCCTCCATGTACTTTTTGCAATTCTGTATGGCGTAGTTCTACGTTATTTAATTCTGTTAAGTGCTAGGGTTGATGGGACACTCATTGAGCTCAGAACCTTGCTTTTATCTACACTGACTGCATATGCCACTTTTCTGACCAGGAATTGAGTGTCCAAATCGTCCTGAAGTTCGTGACTTCTACGTTTGAAATCATTTTATCCTATAGTGATATGAGCAAAATTTGCTCATTATCACTAGTTATTGCCCTGTCATCAAGGTCATTTGATTTTATAGTTATAATCAATCATGGGCCCTTTTAGAAGCTTTGGCTTCTACTGCTTCCTATTGGTGAGCCTGATGAATAAAATCCATTGACTCAGCCTCTTTTTCCCCAATGCCATGGAGGCGGCCAACTTTCTTTTATACAAGTCTTGTGTGTGTGTACAATATTGCAAAGCCTTTACTAAAATCTAAATATAACAATATCGAATTCTTTATCATGCATCATACGGATCTTCAAAAGCTTTACGGTAGGAAGATTTTTAAATTAGTTTGCATGCTTTCCCTATCGGACTGGTGTACAAGGCCGAGAGGAAGTTCCACAAGGTTGTTATCCTCAGAATACTCCTTTTTCTGCTTTAGTTTTGGATTGGATGGAACCTTCTGCGGTGTGCTTCCTTATGTTTGTGACTGTGCTGTAGCTTACTCGGGCACTGATATTGATAGTAGCAGCCTTTTCAGGATTGTGATAGGACAGATGTCTCCGTTGGACCAATTCTCGTGACCTTAAATATTTCTCGTACGAGATGCCGAGTGTCTTTACCTTCACTGCTTATTCCGGAATTACTCCCTTGTACTTTCACGGGTTCACGTTATTTGGCATTTGTTATCGGTCAAAGTTTCTGGGCCTGCTCTTTGATCGCCGACTGACGTGGAGACCTCACTATTTCTTTAAAGACAACTTGGCCATGCTCGGCTAAATCTTTCTTAAGGTTCTCGCGCATCATTCAGTGGGAGCAGATGTTGCATTCGTCTCCTCCGTTTGCAGTCCACCTAGTCTTGTCCAAGGCAGCTAGATTTTGGTGAGGCCAAAATCTTAGTCTGAGCCTTTCCCGCCAACTCTATGTTAGAATTCCCATTCATCACCAAAGGTCTCCTGTCTGTGCCTTGGTGCCTTCGATTCATCCGCTGTTGAGGGCCTCTATGCTAGAGAATCGAATATTCCAGCCTGTGTTCGCGGCTATGGACTAGGCATTGGCGCCTTCCACTATTATGTTCTCGATTTCATGGTCCTCCAGCAATCCTTCATATAAGGATAGTCACTGTGTTGAGTATGACATTATTTGTTCGTCAACCCTGTTTACTATCCTGCACTTTTTTCTCCGCAACCATTCGCTCTTTGTTCTTCTCTTTCAGTTACCCCTATGTTCATGATTAGGCATGTAGCTCACTTTCTCCCGTGCCCCAGGAAGAATGTTCCAGAAATGCTTATCGTCAGTCTGCGCTGCGGTTTCCACATGGCTCTCAGGTGACAGGAGAGGGCCCCTCACACTAACCTACAGTGGATTCCCGCTGCTTCTTTTTCTTGGACCACTTACAGTTTTTCGATTCTCTATTCACATCACAGTGGGTTTAGCCCAATGGTTCTAAGTCTTCTATGACGGGTCAGGGCGTGGTTCGGATTCGCGAAGCGCTCCTCTAGGGGGGTGGTTTCCGGGGTAGTGCAGTGTCGTGCTGTAGGGGTATTTTATTAATGCCTCGGCCGCTAACATTTTTATGGGCTGGGAATTGTAATGCGCCTAGGTTCTTTGTAGTAGCATTATTTTTATGTGCATCTTTGCCTGTGGTGGTTGGGACCCTATTTGTGGTACGCGTTTTCTCAGAGAGTGCTCCGTTTTAGTACTACACAGGCGTGGTTTGACGGTAAACAGAGTATTGAGTTGCACTATCTCCTTCCTAGTTCTTCGTATCTAACTTTGGGTTATGCAAGTATGTCTCTAGCAAACATGAGATTATTTTTTTTGTGTAGGTCCCTGGTCATGTTGAGTACAGGGCAATAAAAACAGGTCCAGGACTCCACTGCTGGCGAGTGTCAGCGCAGTACACTGCGACGCGCCCAGTTTTATATAGAGGTGGTTCCACTCAGCAATTTTGCATGAAATTACTACCAACCTTTTGTGGCTAGCCACATTGGCGAACAACATTGGGTCTGTTGTCTGCTCTATTATAAACTTCATTTCTATGAAACCGAGTTAGAGGGTTTTCTGGCCGTCTTGCTGTGTTCATCAGTTGTTCAAGGATGGGGAGACTTACTGCTTTTCGCATCCGTCGGGGCGCGTGGGCCACGAGCTGTGTCAGGCGCCGCGCTCACGCACACGCGCAAGTTATGTCTGGTGAGATTGGGCCGCCCTGTTCCTCTCAGTGAAGAAATGCAAGTTCACTGTATCTGTTGCCTCCAATTCTGTTGGATGTCACTATATCAACATGCTTCGCAGAATTTACCTCCAGAACAGTTATCTCTGGCCTCTGCTGCCCCTTTCTCTACTTTACTCTTCTTATTATCCGGATTTTCTCTCTTTGACTTTTTGACAGTGACCATATACTACACAAAACTCTGTGATGATGCCTCTAAGCATCTCTCCTCAGTCTTTCTTCTTAATCTCTAGCTACCCTCTACCCTGCACTATCCTCTTCCGCTGCCACTCATTACCACTAATAATTCATCCCTCTCCCTCTTACTTGCTTCATTACCCTTGCATCCTTCCCTGCCCTGCATGCGTCTATGATTTAGCGCTTCTTTTTTTGAATATATCAATTTATCCAAATATTATATGGCATTGACTTAAATCTGTCTCCATCTATTATTTACATTTATTTTCTTTGGCCACTGTTTGGGCTGACTGTTATGACAAGGTCTAACTTACTAATACACCGAATTACGCTATTGCAGCTGATGACAATCTTTCTGGTGGCGAATGGTGCCAACAACTTCGCTAATACTGTAGTAGACTTCACCAAGCAACTGGGAGCTGTTGAGGACGGCACACAAGGCACCAACGAAGCTATTGTGCTCAATCACGATGCTGAGATCATTGCCTAGCACACTTTGATTTGTTGTAATATGTGTTATATTCATTGCTTAGAGGACTGATATAGAAATATATAGGGAAAACTATGTATAAAATAAATAATAGCTAGGAGAAGGGATATTAAGAAAATTAAGCGCTTGATGACGAAAATGCTTAGGAATAAAGTCTAGCTAAACTTACACGAATAAATCACACAAACAATGAAGGTGGAAAAACGCTGCGATGAGAATGAAGTTTTAGAGGAGAACACAAGGAAAGAAGAGTCAATAAATAATTAAGAAAATTGATTATAAGAAAAACCTAGCAACAACTGTTTTCAGCTTGGTAATCTGTTTTTTTAAACAAATATAATTTTTTTTACCATTTTCAATGCAATTGTTTTTTGGCCCTTTCTCTTAAATTAAATAGTTGAAATGACTCCAGGTCATGAACAGGTAATAGATTCTTGAGGGTTATTATAAACATGTGTCTCGTCGCAAGTTTCTAACATTCTTTTTGAAGAAAATTTCTGCATGAAGAAACTAACTAAGCTAAATAAATTTAACATTGCCACAAATAAAATATTTTCTTTTGTTTTTAAACCTGAGGAGAAATGTTTGACCAGTAAGATACTGGTGAGCAGGTTCCAGTAAGATACTGGTGAGCAGGTTCCAGTAAGAGTACGAGGTGAGCAGGTTCCAGTAAGTATGGTGAGCTGAAGGTGCCAGTAAGATACTGGTGGATGCCGGTTCCAGTAAGATACTGTTGAGAGAAGGTTCAGTAAGATATGGTGAGCAGAAGGTTCCAGTAAGATACTGGTGAGCAGGTTCCAGTAAGATACTGGTGAGCAGAAGGTTCCAGTAAGATACTGGTGAGCAGGTTCCAGTAAGATACTGGTGAGCAGAAGGTTCTAGTTAAGATACTTGTGAGAGGTGTCCGCAGGGATAAGATACTGGGTGCGCAGAAGGTTCCAAGTTTATAAGACCTGGTGAGAGGTTCCAGTATGATACTTGGTTGAAGCTGAAGTTTCCAGTAGATACTGTGTGAGCAGAAGGTTCCAGTTAAGATACTGGTGAAGCAGGTTCTGTAAGTATATGGTGAGCAGGTTCCAGTATAGATACTGGTGAGAGGAAGATTCCAGTAAGATATGAAGTGAGCAAGAATGGTTCCCAGTTTAAGATTACTTGCGTGAGCAGAAGGTTCCGTAAGTAGGTTGAGCTGTGTTGCTCCAGCTATTATGATTATTGTCTTGGTTCGTGTGAGAAGGTTCCCTGTTAAGGATACTGGTTTGATGAAGGTTCAGGTAAGAGTACTTGTGTTGCTTAGGCAGAAGGTTCCGTTAAGATACTGGTGAGCAGTTCCAGTAAGATACTGGGTGGCAGAAGGTTCCAGTTAAGATGCTGGGTGGAGCAGAAAGGTTCCAGTAAGTTACTTGGTGCAGCAGTGTTCCTCAGTAAGATTTACTGAGTGAGCTGGTTCCAGTAAGATACTGGTGAGCAGAAGGTTCCAGTAAGGATACTGGTGAGCAGATTGTTCCAGTAAGATACTGGTGTGTTAGATGGTTCCAGTATAAGGATACTGGTGAGCTGGTTTCCTGGGAAGATATGGTGAGCAGAAAGGTTCCAGTAAGATACTGGTGAGGAGAGGTTCTGTAAGATACTGGTGGCAGGTTCCAGTAAGTATGGTTGAGCAAGTAAGGTTCCTGTAAGATACTGAGTGAGCAGGTGTTCCAGTAAGATATGTGTTGAGGCAGAAGGTTCCTGTAAGATACTGAGTGAGCACCGGTTTCCAGTAAAGATGTACTGGTGAGAAGAAGGTTCCTAGAGATAAGTTATGGTGAGCAGGTTCAGTAAGATATGGTGGCATGGTTCCAGTAAGTACTGGTGAGCAGGTTCACAGTAAGATACTGGTGAGCAGAAGGTTCCAGTAAGATACTGGTGATGCAGGTTCCAGTACGATACTGGTGAGCGAGAAGGTTCAGTAAGGAAACTGGTGAGCGGTTCCAGTCAGGGATACTGGTGAGCAGAAGGTTCCTGTTAGATACTGCCGTGAGAGGTTCCTGTAAGATAACTGGTGAGCAGTAGGTTCAGTAAACATACGGTGAGCAGGAGGTTCCAGTAAGATATGGTGAGCAGGGTTCAGTATGAATATGGTGTAGCAGAGGGTTCCAGTAAGATACTGGTGAGCAGGTTTCCCAGTGAGGTTACTGGTGAGCAAGAAGTTCCTGAAAAGATTCTGTGTGTGAGCAGGTGTCCGTAAGATACTGGTGAGCAGGTTCCAGTAAGATACTGGTGAGCAGGTTCCAGGTTAAGATTCTGGTGAGCAGATGGTTCCAGTTAAGATACTGGTGAGCTAGAAGGTTCTCAGTAAGTAACTCTGGTGAGCAGAAGGATAACCAGTAAGATACGGTGAGGCAGAAGGTTCAGTAAGATACTGGTGGGCAGAAGGTCTCCAGTATAGACATATACTCTGGTGTGCAGAAGGTTCCAGTAGAACATACTTGGTGAGCACAAGATATCTAAGATGTTTTTTTATGTCCAGTAAGATTACTGGGTGAGCATGAAGGTTCCAGATAAGATATGGTAGCAGTATGGTTCAGTAAGTATACTGGTGAGCAGAAGGTTCCCAGATGTACTGTGTCGAGCAGATGGATCAGTAAGTAAGATACTGGTGAGCAGAAGGTTCCAGTAACATAGCGGTGTAGCAGTAGGTGTACAGTAAGATACCTGCTGTGAGCAGATGGTTCCTGTAAGATTCTTGTGGCATGGTTCCAGTAAGATACTGGTGGTCAGGTTCAGCTAAGTTACTGTGAGCAGAAGGGTTCCAGTAAGATTATTGGTGAGCAGAAGGTTCCTGCAAGATGACGGGGTGCAGAAGTTCAGTACGATAATGGTGTGGTAGGTGGTATCCTGTTAGCTCTACAGTGTAATTGGGTGAGCTGGTTCCTAGTTAAGAGACTGGGTAAACAAATTCCAGTAGTAAAGATGACAGGGTGAGCTGCGTTATGTTAGAGACTGCGTTGGTGCCAAGAAGGTGGCAGCTCTAGTATAGTGAGGGTGATGCATGTAGCGCCGCAGTTCGGCCAGTATGCGATAAAGAGGTGCTGTGATTGGTATGAGCAGAGGAGGGTTCCGAAAGTGGTTTAGGAATAAGCTGGTCGTAGCTAGCCTTAGGAGGTTCACTAATGCTTAGATGGGATAACTAGAGGTGTAGCGCGGATGAGACGGATTCAGTTTTGGTAGCTGTTCGTTGAGTATGGAGTGTCCTTTGTTGAGAATACTTTGGGTTGAGTGCAAGTTGTTTCCAGTGTTAAAGATTCTGCCGGCGACGCAGAAGTTCCGAGTTACAGATTACTTGGTGTGAGCAGAAAGTAGGTTCGTAGGGGAGTGCACGGATGTGTTGTGCTCTCAAGGAAGAAGGGGTTTGTACATGTACGAGATACTGGTGAGACTGTAGGTTCCGAGTAGGTATCTTGGGAGTGGCAGGAGGTTCCAGCTTTTTGAAGTATATACGGGTGTTGTGAGAATCGACGTTTCCATTGTCAGAGACAGATACTGTGTGTGGGGTTTGGGCTCATGGTTCCTGAGTAGAGAAGAGAGTACTAGATCTGATTGCTGTGAGCTCTAGAGTTAGGGGTTGTCCAGTGTATGATGTTTGAATGGAGTGTAGCAGCGGTTGGTTACCGTAGTCATAAGTTACCTTTAGGAGTGAGATGCGAATTGGTGTTAGACTAGTAAGATTAGTTTTAATGAGTGAAGCGAGTTTTCCAGTAAGATCCTGGTTGAGAAGAGGTTTTTCCAGTAATATACTGGTGAGCAGGTCCCAGTATAAGATACTGGTGAGAAGGTTTCCAGTAGATACTGGTGAGCTGGTTCAGTATGATTCTGGTGAGCAGAAGGTTCCAGTTTAAGATACTGGTGCCAGGTTCCAGAAGTTACTGGTGAGCAGAAGGTTCCAGTAAGATACTGGTGAGAGGTTCCAGTCGTACTGGTGAGCAGAAGGTTCCAGTATAATACTGGTGTGCAGGTTCCAGTAAGATACTGGTGAGCGGAGGGTGTCTCCACAGTAAAACATTACTGGGTGAAAGCTGAGTATGAAGGGTTCCAGTAAGAGATTCTGCGTGAGCATACGGTTCAGTAAGTACTGGGGTGGTGAGCTGAACGGTATACCTTGTAAAGATACTGAGTGAGGCAGGTTCCAGTGAGATACTGGGACGCCAGAATGGTGTCGCACAGTGAAGTATACTTTGGTGAGCAGGGGTTCCAGATAAGATATGGTGAGCCGGTTGTCCTGTAAGGATACTGGTTGGTTAGAGCAGGTCTCCATTAAGGTACTGGTGATGCAGAAGGATTATCCAGTAAGATATGGGTGAGCTAGAAGGTGTTCCAGTAGACACTGGTGAGGCTTGAAGGTCCAGTAAGTTAAGTGTTTGATGGTGAGAGAATGGTTCCAGTATTGCTGGTACTGGTGAGCATGAAGGGTTCGACAGTATCATATGAGTAGGTAATGAGCAGTACGAGGTTCGGCGATAGCGCATTACTGGTGATGCAGAAGGTTCCAGTAAGATTACTGATGAGCATGTGATTAGCAGAGGTTCAATAAGATATCTGTGAGCTACGAAGTTGCTTCCAGTAAAGATACCTGTGAGTGGGAGCAGAAGGGTTGTGCAGTTGTAAAGATGTCTGCGTGGAGCAGATGAGGATCCTCACGTAAGATACTAGTGTGAAGCGGAAGGTTCCAGAGATAAGACTCTATGGTGAGTCAGAAGGTTCCAGTAAGATACTGGTGAGCAGGAAGGGTTCGCAGTAAAGATACTTGTGTAGCAGGTTCCAGTAAGATACTGGTGAGCAGGGCTATCAGTATAGATACTGCGTGGAGCAGATGGTTCCAGTAAGACTTTCTTGGCTGGAGCAGAATGGTTCCAGCAAGATACTGGTGAGCAGAAGGTTCCAGTCTTAGATATGGTGAGTCGGATTCCTGTAAGCTACTGGCGTGAGGCATGGGGTTTCGAGTAAAGATACCTGGACTAAAAACTAAATTCCTAAGTGTAAGCGATAGCGTGTGGGTGAGCTGCTTTAGTGAAAGATATTGGTGAGGAGCTCAGAATGGTTCCATCTAAGATAAATGGTTGAGCAGGGTTGCCAGTAAGATATGGTGAGGCAGAAGGTACAATATAGATACTTGGTGACAGGGGGTTCCAGTTAGATATACTGGTGAGGAGCACGTTCCATGTTAGGATACTTGGTGGCAGAAGGTTCGAGT